CTGCAATTTTTATTGGCTCCGAGCCTAATTTTTGTAGATCCTTAGCCCGGGATTTTCTTGACATAAGGGAATCCGATTTTTCCTCGGTAATCTATAGCAAACTTGAACATGGAAGGTTAATTATCCAACATTTTGAGTTCTACAATGTAAGCCTGCGAATCATGAACTAGAAGCGATCTATTTGTTAAACGCGATATTAATAAAATTTTAAATAGCATTTAGTATAAACTTGATGCTCTTGCATAAAGAAATTCGATCTTATAGTGGCTAAAATGTTTAAAAGCAAGCATTCTTTACCTTGCCTGCATTCACTGCCTTTATTATGAATTCCAAGCTGCAAAACGGAATATGATCCTAGTAAATCCCTCTTTACGAAATATAAGTAGCCTAATAATATCATTAATATACTAACAACAACCGCTACGCCCCAGATGAAATTGTACCGTCCCAGCTACACCATACATAACGCCAATATCTGTAAATGTTGGATTGTGGAGGTGGATTGCAGATTCATTTTCATGGTATTTTTCCCATTCTTTTGCCAGTTGACGATCTGGATGAGAAATTCTGGCAGATTTAAAAATATTTTCATCCCACCAGATGGTCTCGGAGACTTAACACCAGACAATTTGTGTTTATGCTGATCGGATTCACATCTTTACTACGTATCTTTATTCTTAAAGATACTATAAATAGATAACCCTCTTTAATAACATTTGATACAGAATGTTATAAATAAAATTTGCATTTTTAGAAGATTGTCTGTGTTCTGATAGACTAATGTTGAGTCATCTCGGAGACTTTAACATCAAGAACCTCGGAGGTCGCTTGTGCCTCAACATTAGTTTTGTGGCTCGTCTCGGAGACTTGAATGATAGAAGTCTCGGAGATCCCCTACCACGCCACTAATTTCTATATTTCAACAAAGACTCATACTTGCCTTCTTATAGTTATCAAGCAGTCTTTGCGCTTTTTCGTGTCTTCCATCTTTCCCGTATTAGCAATTACCTCGAGAGATTAAAGGTACTCCTATTTTTTGTCCAAATGTTTTCAAGTTGCATTCATCAAGGAAACCCAGAATGTTCCATTCCAACCATTTCGTTTGAAATATTCGTGCAGTACCTGTTTTGAATGTTAAGAAAAGAAAAAGTGAAAAGTTATCATTGTGTTTGGATCCACAAAAAAGATCAAAGGTTTGTTCGTGTTCAAATTCATACTTTAGGTTGAGTGTTAGGCCTAAACATGATTTTATATGTAGATTGAGGGGTCGGTTAGAATTACTAAATTATGGCATTTTACCAATGGTAGAATTAATTGCCGTAAATATTATAGCTCGATAATAAAGAATATTTACGCGCTTATAAAAAAGAATTTATTAGCAATCTACTGATTAACAGTTACTGATAACTGATAAAAAAAACGTGCCAATTACATCACCACAGCAAAAAACAAACTGGTTTGAAACAGGTTTTTAATTGATTACACGTTCAAAAGTCGCGTGTTTTCAAAATAAACACGTTGATAAAAAAACATAAGTATCACATTTTTCTCTTACTTTTTTTAACTTTTAACTTTTTTTTATTTTTTTTACATATTCAATAGTCGTCGCTTTAAATTTAACGGTACAGTTTTTCTCGAGCTCTGCGAGGATAAATTGAGCAAAAAGCTACTTGATGAAATAATGATTCAAGGGAACAACCCGCTCAAAAACCGGGAACAGTACCACGACAAGTACCGGTCGGAGAGAACTGGGTTGGGGTTCGCCTTCCCAACCAACGAGATACACCTCTACGTGGTGGTTGGGACAAGTAAGAGTAATTATCTCTGAAACTAAGTATCTCAAAGTATCACCATTTTGTATTCTAACTTTTGTGTAAGTTTAAAATAATTTAATTTTTAGTATTTTATTAAATATCAACTTAAAAAGTTGTAATATTAATTATATTATTATTGCTTATACTGTAATATTCAAAGTTGTAACGATATTTTTTTTTGATTTAATAAAATTTTAAAAACTTTTTTAAGTTTATAATATAAATTTGTTTTGCATTGTATTTGATCTAATCCTGAGTATCGTAATTTATATGATGATTTAAATAGTAAGTTCTGTCTAGGGATGCCAGGTTAATACCATTTATATTTTTAATGCTTAGCAAAAACTATCAAAATATAAACCGATAAAACTTAGGTAAAAAACGTAAAAGCTGTGAAAACTATCAATAAACAAAACTATATATGTCATACGTCGAAATGAAATTAGGTTGGAACGGAATTCCAAAGTTGATACGAAATTTTAAAGCAACCTAAGTTGATTCTAAATTTGATAATTTAAATTCGTTGTCACAATAAATGTGCAATTGATTGACGCAACAATTGTTAAATAAATTACATTATATCGTCATTTCACTTTTTAAGATATATTAAAGTAGATTTGAAATATATATTTGTTATGGTAGACTTTTTAAATTTGATTAGAGTGTAGGACTTAGATTACAGTAATGGTATAAGTGTTGTGTATTAATAGATCCATTTTCCCGAAAGGACATAATACTGACTAAATTGGCCAGCATTATAACTAATTTCGGCTAATTTTGTCCTTATTCAGGAATCCGTCCTTCGGGATTTCAGGGTAGAACCAGGTTAGGTTAATCGATATAGTATGGTTATATCGACACTCTTCGATAAAATAATTTGGAATACATTAAATTTTAGTGTAGGAATTCTTTAACGACTCATGCACATTTTAGAATTCTATTACAACCTATGTTTAACCTAGGTGGATTCTAAATCCACAATAATTCCATTCCGACGTACGACATATATATTTATATAGTAAAATAAAACTATACGTAATAATATATATATAAAATAATGTTTAAAAGTTAGGTTGTCGAGAAATATTCATTAAAAGCCAAAAAAATTTTGGCTGCAGCTTTTTTTTTTTATAGGCGCCTAAACTTTGAACGAAGATTACTCGCACTTACCCGGTCAAATTCGATCAAATTTTTTTATTTTACTTCTATGAGCGTATAGAATTAAAATAAAAAAATTTGATCGAATTTGACTAGGTAAGTGCCGAGTAAACTTCGTTCAAAGTTGTGATGTCTTTAAAAAAGAAGCTGCGGTCAAACTTTTTTTTAGCTTTTAATGAATATTTCTCGACAACTAGCTATTCAAATTCGATCAAATTTTTTTCTTTTAATTCTATGAATCCACAAAATTAAAATAAAAATTTTTTAGATATTTTGTTGTCGAGAAACGTCATTTAAAGTTCAAAGAAAGAAATTTTATTCGATTTGTTTTTTTTTTCCAAGATTTTTAGAGTTTTTTTTAAACCATTTCGCGATAATTTCTCGACAACTGCTAAACCAAATTTGATGAGCTTTTTTTTTTATTTTATTTATATAATACTATAGAATTAAAATAAAAAAATTTTATCAAATTTAATCAAGTAGTTATTAAAAAATCATCACTAAAAGTTTTAAAGAAACTTTCGAATTTATTAATAATCTTCCTTTTTTGGGGTTTGTATTACCGGCACAAATAAGTAAAGCCGTCTTGCATCATAGTAATTAAAAAACTAACTTAATACAAATGATTGTTTTTTAAGACTGGTCACTATTAAGATCGCAGGGTATAACGATAAATCAGTTATACACTGGGTTTCTATATGTATAAGCGAAAATAAAATTTCCGCTTATACCCAATTTTGTTAGCGTTAATATTAAGTACCAATTAACTAGAAAATTTTCATCAGTCAAGCAATTTATACGATTGATTAATTATTATTTAAAATTTTATAATTGGTTGTTGCTATTTTTTGTGTATACAATAAAAATATGATGTATATAATATATATTGTTTCACAAAAAAGTTACATATTTGTAATGAAACAAAACCATAAAAAACCCAAAGTCTATAAACCAAAAGAATTATTCCTTCGCACCAAAATAACCAAAAACCCTAGGTACAAATTAAGAATTGTTTATTCTTCATTTGGCAAGAATCCAGAGCGTTCCCATTTTCATTCAGGGCAAACAAGTAATATACCAAAATCGCCAACCCCATTGCCCATATCCAAAGTTTTTGCTGATGCTGTTTTGCAGTTTGATTCATTGTTGTATGATTGTTGGTGGTTGATGTTATTGGTTGAATATATATATTGAGAAAAAAATATACATAAAAAATTTGTTTGTTAATCATCCTTCTCTAGCTTATTTAAGTGATATTTTTTACAAAAAATGCATGAACGATTTTTTTTTTTTTTTGATCTAAGAGGAAATATACTGTATAAAATGGGTATAATAATAATAAGGATTTTCGGGGTTCTTTTAATATATTGTTTGCATGCCAAACCTACCCAAAGCCCAGTAACAGAAGAAAATCCCAGTTTTTTTTTTTTTTTTCTCTTTTTTTTTCCTCTTTTTTTCTTCTCTTTTTTTTTCCTTTTTTTTTTTTTTTTTTTTGATTTGATTCTAGATCTCCTTCAAAAACCCCCTACAAAAAGATTCTCATTTTCTATTTTTTTTCCTCCCAATGATCTTGATATATATACTTCTAGTAATTTTTTTCGAACCAGCGAAAAAATTGTTTATATAAAAGGCACATAACCCATACAATATATAAAAATTTAAATAACCGGATTCCATTACTCTGATGGTGATTTTGCCAAGCTACTTGGTTTTATCAAACGTGATCTATCATTAGTATCTCGACTACTCACTTTTCTAGTATACGACATTCGTTTCAACGCCAAGGGGCCGAGCCCTTCTGACCCTTCGATACGGAGTTCTGGTCCCTTCGGGATGAAGCGGATGTTCGCCTCATAAAAACTGGGACCACCAGCGGACTCACCGACGTTGGTTCTTGGCTCTGTTTCGTCAGATCCGACAAAAGATCGGGCTTTGGGGATGTACTTTTGTTCCAAGTTAGCGTGTTCTGTTGTGGCAGAATGAATTGGAGAGTGACATCATTGTTATCTATAATGTCATATGTAGTAAACGTCAAATTAATGAATAAAAAAAAAAAAAAAAATTTTTTTTTTTTTTTTTATAATTTCCAACAAATTTAAGTTTTACAATTTTAAATTGTTGGAAACAGAATAAATAATGCTATTTCTATAAATGCCTCTTCGTAGCGTTTGCCCACTACATTTGCATTAATGATATACATACCAACAAGGAACCTTTTTTATATTCAATCGGCGCCATTTTTGAAAATAGTTAGCTTAGTAATTTCCCAAAAAAATTTGCTTTTAAAGAAAATTAATTGTGCTTACTTCGATAACTCTGCCCACCCTCCTCCAACTCGAACCATTACCATACGGCTTCTTAAAATACGACAATAACATAGCTTAGGTTCAACTTCTCCAAACATATACTTTCCAGGCTCTCCTTCAACCATAGACACTTTAATCTTTACAGGGCACGCGTTTACTATTCGCGCGACTTCTACATCAAGTTGATCCTTAGGGTCTGGAATGTAATTGTTGACTGAATGCGGTAAGAGACGGATTGGTGGACGTCTTGGAGACCCTGGTGTACCTGGTGTTGGGCTTGGAGAAAGCCGTGTTGGAGTTCTTGATGCGGCCCGTGTTGTTGCTGTTGACGATCGATGCCTGAGACGTGATGGGGAGCTACCGGGTGAGATGACTCTAGCTGTTAAACGTTATAAATAAGAACGAAATGTCCTGATAGTTAGCGACTATAATGATGTTTATGGATTTGGTATTATGAGGTAGAGTGATTTGGAATATGATCGGTTACCTGATGTTGAATTGGATCGTCCAGGTCGTGTTTTTATTAATGGTTTCTGACCTGAAAGCAGACGACTTAATTCATCTCTTTTGGCTAAAGCAACTTCATTTAATTCATTCCATTGTTCTATCAGAATGCCTAGACGGTCAACAACTCTCCAATCATCTTTTAATGGCTCTGCTGCTCTTTGTGCGTCTGCTAATTTTTGGACTATGATAGGATGATAATAATTATATTTGGTATCCAATTCAGTGAAACGCGATTGCAGGTCAATGACGCTTAATAATTGAAGTGGGCAATCTGGTGTTGTGGTGGTGGCAGCGTCCACTACTTCAAGTAATGAACTCATTAATGCATTCATTTCATCTGCCTTTGTTCCGAATTTGCCAATTTTTCAGCTTCTCGAAGTTGAATTCTCTTATTATCAATTAGGCTTTGAAGGTTAGTTAAGGCTTCTGCAATTCCCGCTCGTTGTTGAACATAACCCTTGTCATTTTCAGTTAAATTATTTATCATATCATCTAGTGCTTCAATCCTAGGTGTTAATATATTGTCCACTTCATTTTGAATTTCGTCAAGTTCTCTTACACCATCAATAACATCATCTTTTGTTGGTAACCTTGGAACTCCTTCACCAGTAATGAAAGATTCAACATTTAATACTCGTTCTTTGACTTGACCAATGGCTACTAATATATCTTTAATAGTACGTGATACTTCCTGAGCTTCCTTCGATGCATTTAGGCTTGACCTCAATTTTGCAAGTAGATCATTAAGACCATACCACTCCTCTAAAACTCTATTTGTTCTTGTCTGAACAGCTTCTTTAATTTTAGGATTTGATTCCTCAGGTTGGGGCTCATCAATGTCTCTACTATCGGCTTCAGGTATTAGAACTCGGTGGCTCATATCTTTGAACTGATCAACTGTAATTTGGAAACTAGCAACTTTGTCTTCTAAATCCACTATCTCTGCTTCTTGATCAATTATACCGATTGAACCAACTTGAATATTCAGCATTGCTAATTTACAAGATGACATCCAATTTTTTATATCATGTGAAGATTTGGTATGTGCATAAACTCTACGTACAAGTTCGAGTTCACGACGTTCAAGTGCGACAGTGTCAGAAAACTTCTCTAAAGCTCCTGTCACCTTACTGAAAATGTTCAATATACGATCCTTATTGGCTTCAGGATTTTGGTCAATAAGTTTATCAGCTTCTTGCTTCAAATCAACCTTAACCTTTTGATCATAAATTCCCAATTTGTCTTCACTTTCTGTATATTCATCAATAGCTTTTTTAAGCACATTTGCGAGTGGTTCAACTTCTAGAGCATAGTAGCCGCTGCGATCAAGGTCCTCATGTCTCGATTTAACTACTGCAGTTCCTTCATAACATTCTTTAATAATTCGATCTGCATCGGCATGGAACGCTGCCAATTGCGAGGCATTGTGAGCTGCAGTGAGAGCAGTTTTGAACGCATCTGACAATTCCAATAGTTTTTTACTTGCTTTATCGTGATGAATATCAAAGTTTTGTCGGTTTGTTTCATCGAGATTATCGTCCGGTGTGAAAGGAACATGATTAGCTGCAGCTTTAGTTTCTTCAAGTATTAATGCAGCTTTTTTAATATTTTCATCTAATTCTTTGCCTTCAGCCTCCAAATTTGAGAAATCTACACTAGGCAAAGCGTTTATACGAGATTCTAATCCATCTAATATATTAGTTTCAACCTGATAGATAGTACCATGTTGGTCATGCCACTGAGCAACTTTTGTAGTAAAGTTCTTAAAATCATCTACAGACGCAAAAAGTTCATCCCAGGATTTATTAAGATGTTCCTGACATTTCATTATATCTTTTAATTCTCGAATACCCTCTTGTGAGGTGATATCTTCATATTCTTCACGAATGCTTTCAATCTGTTCATTACGATAGGGCAATTGATTTTGGAAATTATCCAAAACTGCAACTAATTCATGGAAATACTTAGTGTTCAGTTCATTATCATCTCCTCCCATAATACCATAAGTTGGTTTAGCATTCGCAAAAACTGCGATAAAGTCATCAATCCATTTTTGTAGATCATTAGCACGATTAATATAAGCTCCGGCGATTTGAGCAGATTTATAAATTTCTATTTCTTCAGTCTTTTCACCCATTAATTTTTTCAACGAGTTAATAGAATTAATAACGTTACTCAAGATGGCTTCAATCTCTTTAGTTTCTTTATCACTCAGAATACCAAAATTATCTTTTAGATTTTCTCGAGCTAAATCGTGAAGTTTTATTAAATCAAAAAGTTCTGCTTGTTCCAAAGAGTTTAATCTACCTTGCCAATCTTTCATTTCAGTGTCAGATACAGATTCTACCAGGCTATTTGTTATTACACTAGATAAATCATCAATCTTTGAAAGAATTCCTTTAGCTTTTTCCTTAAACTCTACAACTTGAAGCGCTTGTTCTAATCTTTGTTTAGACTTGAGGACATTGTCTTGTAATTCAACCCATAATGCATCAATTTCTTGTGCTCTAGAGCTTACAAGTTCTAGATCTGCTTTTATGTCTTCAACATCTTCACCTCCGCGTTGAATTTCATATGTCATCTCTTCAATCAATTTATCTGCCAAGTTTTTGGCGAAATCAAACGCACTGTTATATGCTTGACGTGCAGCTTCGACACTATCGACTTCGCCGATAAGTTCACGTAATCTACCTTCTGTTGATTCTCCTAAAGTATCGTCATTAAGAATACTATGCAAAATGTCTGATTTTGGTTGTATCCAAGCTTCAACGTCTTTGGCCTGGTTCATGTATGATTCGATCATCTTTTTACGACGTAAAACATTTTGATGTGTGTGAAGAAGATCGTTCAAACTATTTGCCAATGATTTTAATGATGCATTTTGAGCATTTACTGCTTCACGTATAACAGAATTACAATCTCCCGCTCGACCTATTCGGTCCTTATCATTCTGTATCATACATTTTGGATAATCAATTTTTGAAGCATCATCATCCCATAAACGTTCAACTCTATCTGCAAAAGTGTCGACAGCGTTAGAAACTGTATTTCCTTCTCCTCCGGGTGAGCTTGGTTCGTTAGTTAAAAGGATCTACATAATGTATATTCATTTTTAAGTGTTTAACCAATAAATGTAGATTTCTAATAAAATAATATTACCTTTTGAATTTCTCGTGCCTCCTTTTCTAACATAGCACTGTTATTCATGTATTCTGTGACATCTTTACGTTGCTTAATAATTTCTCTAGCAAAATCGTCGAGAGATTTCAAGTCATTTAGTAATTCATTTAATTCTTTATGAAGCTTCTCAACATGTTCTGGAACATCCTTTTCGTCTGAATTCATGACATTTTGATATTCATCGAATTTAGCATTCATAGACTTGAGCGTTTTCTTTTCAAATCCTGCAACTTTATTATTGATTTCATCCAATTCAGACAATAAATTTTTGATCATTGAATCAACATCTTTTCTTATATCCGGATCTTGTGTTTGCCATGATGCTTTTTCAAAGATGAATTGATCAAGTTCATCTTCAATTCTTTTAGCGTTTGCAAGTGCATCATTAAGTTCTCCTGAAAATTCCATTGTTTTTTTATACGAATTGAATTGGCTGTCAATCTCTTTGGATAACTTTTCAAGTTCATCCATACGTTCATCCACCACCTATAATATTAAAAAATAAACAAAATTTACCATCGAACTCAATATTTTTCTAAATAATGGAAGCGACGTACCTGCTTGATTGATGCATTAACATCTTTGTCTGATATCTTGTCTTTGGGGTAAAGTATCTTTGCAACAAAATCCTTTTTCAAATTGTTTAAAGACTCATTAAAGGTAGCAATTTTTTCAGCGAATCCTGGATCAGCTTCACAACTTTCTTCAGTAGATTTCAGCAAAGCTTTTAATGAAATGCCTTCATTTTCAACAACGTTGGATTGGTTGAGGTAAGCGTCAATAGCATCTCGTTGATCCAATACTTGCTTAGCCAAATCCATACGCCCAATCAAGTTATCATAATGTTGGATGAATTCAACATGACGGTTTGCAATATGTGGTGGTGGTTGTTGTGATAGAAATGATTTTATTGCTGATTTCATGTCATTATATGCAGATTTAGTTAATGCTAATGGTTTTTCTTCAAATTCTGAAACTTTTTGCTTAAAGTCCGTAAACTCTTGCTGCAAGTCGGATTCTGGTACAGCAGTTTCGGGTGACCACCTTGCTTTATTGGCAATAAAGTCATTAACTTGATTTGTTAAGTCATTAAGTAATGTAGAATTAGGTCCGTATAAATCTTCCCATTTGGCACGTTCTTGCAACACATTAAGATCTAATTGATGCAAAGATGATGAGTTTTGCAGATCACTAAAGTTTTTGTTGAGATTGTCCAATGCATCGCGAAGTGGTTTTTGGTCAACGCTTTTACAATTTGCTTTCTTGATATCCTCAAGCAACGTTTCAAGGTTACGACGAACTTGGCTAACGTCTTCAATATCAACTTTAGTATTTTCTTGTTTGAATTTTTCATGTTCTTCAATCATCTCACGAACTTGAGATTCATTCCATAAGCAATCTTGGGCTAATGGATCAATTTTGCGATCATTAAGGTCTTTTAATCGTTCAGCTATCCAATCTTGTACACGTGAAGAATCTTTCATGCATTCATTAGCACGTGCTTGGAGTGCTAGAGAGGATTGATAAGTCTCATGTAATTTTTCTAATTCTTCACCCATAGATTCTAAAGAAGAAAGTCGTTTCTGAGCAGACTCTTTAATAACCGCATTTTTAGTAACTTTTACTTCGTTCATAATAGGACTTGAAGGATATGGGATTTTTGATCCATATTCTTCCCATATATTTTTAACTTTTTGGCTGAAATCTTTTATGTTTGTATCAAAATCAATTTCACTAGGACCTTTTGAAACATTTTTCTCTGCTTCAATCAAACTAGCCTTAAGTTCGGTTGCAACTTTGTCCAAAACTGTTGCTTCGAAATTATACTCGACAGCAGCAGCACGTTGATCTAAGAGATCGCGAGCATAATATACGTGTTCATTGAGTTTGTTTGCATCATTTTCGAGATTGGATTGTCGTTTTTCAATATTGTTCCTGCGGTCTTTATCGTTTAGCTTTTCGCTCGCTTCAATAAATGCGTCATATTTTGATTTATGATCAGTTTCAAACATCTGTAAATGAGTTTCAACTTTTTCTTTGAATATAGAATATTCTTGTTCGAGACCTTCACGTGCAGACTTATCTTCAGGAGTTTTAGTATTCCATGAAGCTTTAGATGCCATAAATTCTTTTGATTCCTTGAGAGAGGAGTCAATAAATTTACGAGAATCTTTATATGAATCTTCCCAAGCGAGTCGTTTTTGTGCAGCATCCACCTCATCAGGTTCACGTTGGCGTAGGATTTGAATATTATCTTGAAGTACACCAAGTTTTGAATTTAGGTTGGCCATCATATTATTGAGCTCTTCGGTATTTACACATTTTGTTCCGACAGATTTTATTTCAGCAACTAATCCAGCAACTCTTGTTTGAAGAACTTTGAGCTCATCCTTGTCAAAATCATGAACATCCATGACTATTTGAGCATTTCCAGTAACGTAATCTTCTATACTTTTGGCAGAGAATCTACAAGGTTCTTGAAAAATGTCAAATTTACGATTTTTGACAAAATCATCCTTTTTGGTAATCCATTCTTCCAAACGGGCAGCTTCCTTTTTATTCTCTTCGGCCATTTTGACAAACCGTAAAGCACGTTGATAATTTTTTAACGCTTCATTGGTTTCCTGCTGTAACGCTTGCAAGTTTTTGTGATAAGCGATAACACCTTCACGAACAATATCATTTTCGGCAGGGTCATGACTATTATGTTCTGGATAGATAACTTTCATAGCCATTGAATTCCATGAAGTTTCGACTCGGTTGTTAAGTTCATTAACGCGTGCAAGATAGTCCTTTTCCACTGATCCACCGCGTGGATTTTCTTCTTCTTTAATCAATTCATCCTTTAAACTAATTCCTTTTGTATGAGTGTTTCCTGCAGCCTCTGCATAATCTAGAACTTGTTTTCGTTGTGTTATAACGTCTCTTGCGAAAGTAAAATAATCTTTTAAATCTTGAAGATCCCCTTCTTCAATGTTTTCTTGTTTCACAAGTAAATGTTCTGGAACTGGTACATTCGATGAATCGACTAATTCATCAAAAATTTCACCCGTCGGAGGAATAATATTATTTTCAAAGTCTTCGATATTATTATTATGTGTTTGAGCTTCTGATGTAACCTCACGTTGCCTAAGTTGAGGTGAATCAATAAACCAGCCATCTTCTCTGGGTGAAACTGGTGGTTTCCACCTGCCTCGATTTAGGATAAATTCATTAATTTCACTTGTTATTCTATCTCGAACGCTCAATGCTTTACCAAGTTCACGTTCCCATTTTACACGTAAAGCCAATACTATTAATTCATTTTCACGGCGCTTCAACATTTCTAATAATTGATCAAGAATTGTTAACGTCTGTAAAGT